CCGCCCCGCCCCGCCCGACCACGCGGGACTTATGAGGAGCAGGCTCGGGGTGGAAGGAAGGAGCCAGGTGGGGGGTTATCGAAGTGAAGCCGCGCCCGGTGTGCCGCTGAACTTTGGATGTCTCGTCGCTGATTACGAGCCACCTGGGAGACACTACTTGTGTCGATCCCTGGCTTAGCTTTTGGCTCTGTGTTCGAGCTTTTCGTCATGGGCACCAGAAATTCTCCCGCCTTCAATGTGTTTGAGCTGCTACTCTTCTTTTTCAGATGGGTACCTGAAGAAAAGGTCGAGGGGGAAAAGGAGGGTCTCACTTATTCCTGTCTAGGTGCGCTAAATTTTTATCTGCTAAATTTTTTGCCACTGCGAACAACCTTACACGTTCCATTATTTGTCAAGCAGCCGGCTGCTCCTGCTTTGTCAAATGCGCACCTCATGACCTTATTGGGGTCGTTAGTTACAAGGGTATCGCAAAGGGGAGTCCTCGGGAAAATCACAACTCCCACGCATGGCAGCCAATGCCGAAAGTGACTTAATTGGGGGGAATGGGGGAATACCACCCAATGAGAAATGCAATATCGAATCGCCGTCGATTTGACGATTTGTTGACGTCGACTATTTTGCATTTCTCACTTGGGCCCTCTCGCAGCCATTACACTTCAGTAATCGTATGGCAGCAAATTATTACATTTGAAAGGAGAGGGTCAAAATTATTTGAAAGTTTACGAATAACATATGGTGAGCGTGTCACGCGATGTTCCCCGCGATATTTGCAGCGAAAAGCGTCATGATAATTTAGTTACGTTTTTTCTTATCGGCGCAGTGAGCACTGGGGTAGTAAGGTTGGAGAGAAAGAGGGGGGGGGCACGTGTAACAATGAGTTAAATGTGTCGTGGAGCCGCGGGCGAAGGTTATCGCTGGGGCCACAATCTGCGTGCCCCAGTGATGCCCCTCCCCTCTTTCCCCCTTCCTGCAGAGGTTTATAATCGCGGCAAAAACAGATAAAAATACATCCTTTCATGTTTTACACTATATCCGACACGATAATTTTGCAAAGCTAATAATGTCTGAACTCCTAAAGTGAAACGGGTTCTGTAATAGTAAGAAATTAGTATCGGGCATATTCGAGCATTACTGAATTTTGACTCGATGTCATCCTGAAGCGAGTTTGAAAAATCTCTGTCTTGTGGGTGCGCCTCGGGGTGCGCTTGTGCGCTATTACAGAACTGTTCGAGAAAGCTACATTTTAAGCACATCTTGGCCGGATGCATTTTGGCAACTTGCAAGTGACGAATTTGCGTCCCTTTGTGGACGATTTTTATTTTTGTCTATTGAAAAGATACAAATTATAGTCATTAATCTACAGGATGCAGATTTGCATATTTGCTTCGGATGTGCATATCTGCTGAGAAATGACTCTAATAGGCATCGCCTCCATCGCACGGAGAAAAATACTTTGTTGTTGTAACTCAATTGGTGTTCAGTCTGCCCCCCTCGCTGCCCCCTCAGTCATAACTATCACA